AAAGCTCGAAGGACCAATGTTCGGGGTAGTACCGACACTAAGGGGATGATAAACTGATAACGCTTGATAAGTTTGATAAAATATATTATGGACAAGTATACAAATTAAAAGGCTAGAACTACTGATAATGAGTACGCGTAGCGCTCTTGATGGCTATCGGCGAACTGATTTTAAAATACCAGGTCAAGTTGTGAAATGATGACTTAACAATTGTACGTTGCATTACATGCTCGTACAAGCTTATATACTTGCTTGGATACTTGCTTATTTACTTGCTTATATACTTACTTATATACTTTCTTATATACTCGCTTATATACTTGCTTATGTATTTGCTTATTTACTTGCTTATATACTTACTTATATACTTTCTTATATACTTGTTTATATACTTGCTTATATACCTGCTTATATACTTGCTTATGTAAATGCTTATTTACTTGCTTATTTACTTGCTTATTTACTTGCTTATATACTTGCTTATATACTTGCTTATGTACTTGCTTATTTACTTGCTTATATACTTACTTATATACTTTCTTATATACTTGCTTATATACTTGCTTATATACTTGCTTATATACTTGCTTATATACTTTCTTATATACTTGACTATATACTTGCTTATGTACATGCTTATTTACTTGCTCATATACTTACTTATATACTTTCTTAAATACTTGCTTATATACTTGCTTATATACTTGCTTATATACTTACTTGTATACTTTCTTATATACTTTCTAATATACTTGCTTTTATAATAGCTTATATACTTGATTGTATACTTGCTTATTTACTTGCTTATATACTTGCTTATATACTTTCTTATATACTTGCTTATATACTTGCTTATGTACTTGCTTATTTACTTGCTTATATACTTACTTATATACGTTCTTATATACTTGCTTATATACTTGCTTATGTACTTGCTTATTTACTTGCTTATATACTTTCTTATATACTTCCTTATATATTTGCTTATGTACTTGCTTATATACTTGCTTATATACTTGCTTATATACATGCTTTTATGATAACTTATATATTTGCTTGTATACTTGCTTATTTACTTGCTTATATACTTGCTTATATACTTTCTTATATACTTGTTTATATACTTGCTTATGTACTTGCTGATTTAATTGCTTATATACTTGCTTATATTCTTACTTTTATACTTTCTTATTTACTTGCTTATATACTTGCTTATATTCTTACTTACATACTTTCTTATATACTTACTTAGAAAGTGTTTAAGCAAGTATATAAGAAAGTATATAAGTAAGTATATAAGCAAGTAAATAAGCAAATACATAAGGAAGTATATAAGCAAGTATATAGTATATAAGGTATATTACAAAGTACATAAGCAAGTAAATAAGCAAGTATAAAAGCAAGTATTTAAGCAAGTATATAAAAAAGTATATAAGTAAGTATATAAGCAAGTAAATAAGAAAGTATATAAGCGAGTATATAAGAAAGTATATAAGCAGGTATATAAGCAAGTATAAGCAAGTAAATACAAGTATACAAGCAAGTATATAAGCTCTTATAAAATCAAGTATATAAGAAAGTATTTATGAAAGTATATAAGTAAGTATATAAGCAAGTAAATAAGCATGTACATAAGCGAGTATAGTCAAGTATATAAGAGAGTATATAGGCAAGTATATAAGAAAGTATATAAGCAAGTATATAAGAAAGTATATAAGTAAGTATATAAGCAAGTAAATAAGCAAGTACATAAGCAAGTATATAAGCAAGTATATAAGCAAGTAAATAAGCAAGTATATAAGCAAGTAAATAAGCAAGTACATAAGCAAGTATATAAGCAAGTATATAAGCAAGTATATAAGAAACTATATAAGCAAGTAAATAAGCATGTATATAAACAAGTATATAAGCAGGTATATATTTAAGTATATAAGCAAGTATATAAGCAAGTATATAAGAAAGTATATAAGTATATAAGCAAGTAAATAAGCAAGTACATAAGCAAGTATATAGCCAAGTATACAAGTAAGTATATAAGCAAATAAATAAGCAGGTATAAAAGCAAGTATATAAGCAGGTGTATAAGCAAGTATATAAGCAAGTAAATAAGCAACTATATAAGTAAGTTTAAAAGCAAGTATATAAGCAAGTATATAAACAAGTATATAAGCAGGTATATATTTAAGTATATAAGCAAGTATATAAGCAAGTATATAAGCAAGTAAATAAGCAAGTACATAAGCAAGTATATAAGAAAGTATATAAGCAAGTAAATAAGCAACTATATAAGCAAGTATATAAGCAGGTGTATAAGCAAGTATATAAGCAAGTATATAAGCAGGTATATATTTAAGTATATAAGAAAGTATATTAGCAAGTATATAACCAAATAAATAAGCAAGTACATAAGCATGTATATAAGCAAGTATATAAGCAGGTATAAATTAATGTATATAAGCAAGTATATAAGCAAGCTTATATACTTGCTTGTATACTTGCTTATTTACTTGCCTATATATACCTGCTTATATACTTTCTTATATACTCGCTTATATACTTTCTTATTTAATTGCTTATATACTTACTTATATACTTTCTTATATACTTGCCTATATACTCTCTTATATACTTGACTATACACTCGCTTATGTACATGCTTATTTACTTGCTTATATACTTACTTATATACTTTCTTAAATACTTTCTTATATACTTGATTTTATAAGAGCTTATATACTTGCTTGTATACTTGCTTATTTACTTGTATATATACTTATATACTTTCTTATATACTCGCTTATATACTTTCTTATTTACTTGCTTATATACTTACTTATATACTTTCTTAAATACTTGCTTATATACTTGCTTATATACTTGCTTATATACTTAATTGTATACTTTCTTATATACTTGCTTATAAACTTGCTTTTATAATAGCTTATATACTTGATTGTATACTTGCTTGTTTACTTGCTTATATACTTGCTTATATACTTTCTTATATACTTGCTTATATACTTGCTTATGAACTTGCTTATTTACTTGCTTATATACTTACTTATATACGTTCTTATATACTTGCTTATATACTTGCTTTTGTACTTGCTTATTTACTTGCTTATATACTTTCTTATATACTTTCTTATATACTTTCTTATATACCTGCTTATATACTTGCTTATATACTTGCTTATATACTTGCTTATATACATGCTTTTATAATAACTTATATACTTGCTTTTATACTTGCTTATTTACTTGCTTATATACTTGCTTATATACTTTCTTATATACTTGCTTATATACTTGCTTATATTCTTACTTATATACTTTCTTATATACTTGCTTATATACTTGCTTATATACTTACTTAGAAAGTGTTTAAGCAAGTATATAAGAAAGTATATAAGCAGTATATAAGGTATATTACAAAGTACATAAGCAAGTAAATAAACAAGTATAAAAGCAAGTATTTAAGCAAGTATATAAGAAAGTATATAAGTAAATATATAAGCAAGTAAATAAGAAAGTATATAAGCGAGTATATAAGAAAGTATTTAAGCAGGTATATAAGCAAGTAAATAAGCAAGTATACAAGCAAGTATATAAGCTCTTATAAAATCAAGTATATAAGAAAGTATTTGAGAAAGTATATAAGTAAGTATATAAGCAAGTAAATAAGCATGTACATAAGCGAGTATATAGTCAAGTATATAAGAGAGTATATAGGCAAGTATATAAGAAAGTACATAGGCAAGTATATAGTCAAGTATATAAGAAAGTATATAAGCAAGTAAATAAGCAAGTAGAAAAGCAAGTATATAAGCAGGTGTATAAGCAAGTATATAAGCAAGTATATAAGCAGGTATATATTTAAGTATATAAGCAAGTATATTAGGAAGTATATAACCAAGTAAATAAGCAAGTGCATAAGCATGTATATAAGCAGGTATATAAGCAAGTAAATAAGCAAGTACATAAATAAGTTTAAAAGCAAGTATATAAGCAAGTATATAAACAAGTATATAAGCAGGTATATATTTAAGTATATAAGCAAGTAAATAAGCAAGTACATAAGCAAGTATATAAGCAAGTATATAAGAAAGTATATAAGCAAGTATATAAGCAAGTAAATAAGCAAGTATACAAGCAGGTAAATAAGCAAGTATACAAGCAAGTAAATAAGCAAGTACGTAAGTAAGTTTAAAACTCGTTCTCCAGAAAAAATGTCTTAGAACAATATATAACATGCATAGTACTGAATCATTAAGAGATGTCTTCAGAACAAAGGGTTTCCTAACACTGACTGGAATCTTTATCCTAGAGTTATGTTTATTTGTTAAAAACAATATGCAATATTTTAATTTGAAATATGATTCAAAGAAAAACATTCGCAATCAATATAAATATGATATAAGCTTACCTATTATTAAAAATATGATTTACTATAAAAGTACCTACATTACTGCTATTCGTGTATACAATCAGTTACCACCAGCTATTAAACAATTAAATGGAAATATGTTTAAAAAAAAATTAAAGAAATTGTTAATTGAAAATGTTTTTTACAATCTCAATGAGTATTTTAATAAAATAAATGTTAGTATGTAGTAAATTTAAAAATTATTTTTTAATTGTTGCATACCCGAAATGGGTAAACTGTTGAGCCTAAAACTATATGTTTTTGTACTAAGATCTTATTGTACACAGTTATGCAATAAATGTATCTTTATCTTTTATCTTTATCTTTAAAAGCAAGTATATAAGCAAGTATATAAACAAGTATTAAAGCAGGTATATATTTAACAGGTATATAATTAATTTTTATTTACCAGAAGGCTTGGTGTCGGCTGGGTCTTCTCGGACTCAGCAAGCGGCACCCGCCGCTGGTGGAGCACGTCGCATGCGTTGGTCACAAGCAATGAACCCAAACGCACTGCGGGCGTACTTTAGGGCAAAAGGGGAAAGAAACTGGATGTTTGGCGTATCGGACTAGGATGCATCGTCTTTTTGCTGAGCTGGAGCCATCTTTAACCGTCACAGAGCAAAACCTGGCAGACCGAGTTCGGTATATCTTGCGCTCAAATATATTTGATGTCGCCGAACTCGAACGGCTACGACGTGAGGCTGTTCCCTCATCGGATGAAAATGCTACGGCTGAGGATGCGGCGCCACAAATTGTAGAGCAACCCGTGGATGCCGGCGTGAATACCCCAGTTGTGGTTGATTCAAACGATGATGGAACAGTCGCCCAGGAACTGGAATTAGAGCATATGAGGAGTACTTTGGAAGAGGCGATTGTGGAAACGCGCAGTACGCCTCTCGAAAATCGACCGCGACTTCCCCGCATAGCCCTAAGCAAGCGGAATCGGGCTGTCGTGAGGGCTCTGAACCCAATGCTGGTGACCTATTTGGAAGCCAGCCGGGACCTTTACGAGACGGACTCAATTCTTTTTGGCGCCGCGCTGGCAGTCTGCCGTATCATAGGCGCCAAGGTTTCCACGGCTGGACGCGCTACTGGCCAAAGTAGCGCTAGCCCAGTATGGAGAAGAAGAATTGAGGAACGTATCGCAAAGGCTAGAGCTCTCATCGGGAGACTGATATGCTTCAGATCAGGCAATAACAGGCCGTTGTGCGCACCGTCAGGATGGCGTTTGCTGGGACAAATGTCAGTTTGTCCCAGCCGGATATAACGCAAAAACTGACGGAGCGCATAGATGATCTGAAGCAGAGAATCGCTGCTTGGGGAAAGCGGATTCGGCGATATACCGAGAGGTCGACACGGCTCTATGAATCATTGGAGCGACCAATGGTAAGTGGAACGGGCCCAGCACCGAATCAGGCCGACACTGTAGCATTCTGGCGCGGCCTGTGGTCAGAGCCCGTAAACCACATATAGGGCGAGGGCCTTTGGACGGAAGTTATGGCGAGTCAGTGTGCGAGTATAACGCCCATGGACCCCGTCATTATAACACCGGATGACGTAGATGAGGCGGTCCGTAGGGAAACCCCGAACTGGAAAAGTCCGGGACTCGACGGGCTGCATCACTACTGGCTAAAGGGGTTCGTGGTGTGTTACACTGTGCTCGCCTACTGGGTTCTCTGTCACACACAGAACGCGACGTTGCCGCTTCGTGTTCGAGTACCTATTCGTCGATTATGGCTCCGGATCCACTTGGTCTAAGTAAATGTCGCATATAAATTAAATATACTCTGGATCTAAAAAAATCATATTCAGTATGATTTTTTCGACCGTTGATAGATCAACAAATGTTGGTCGATCCGCTGACGAGTGTATTGAAATCCTGTTAGTGCAGATCCACCAACGTCACACGCGCATCAAGAATGGATCAAAGTAATTCAGTTTTGCTCAGCTCCTTGTCACACAAACTGATATACTTTGATTCATTCTTGATGCGCTTGTGAGTTGATGCGCATGTAGAAAACACACACACAAACACGTGCGTAAACATTTACACAAGCGCACACGCACATACGCATACACACACACACACGCACACACGTACACACACGCGCGCACACACACACACACACACACACACACACACACACACACACACACACACGCTCACATGCACGTGCGCACACACGCACACACGCACACACACACACACACACGCGCAAACGCACACGCACACGCACACGCACAGGTACACGCACACGCACACGCACACGCACACGCACACGCACACGCACACGCACACGCACGCTCGCACACACGCACACGCACACACGCACACACGCACACACGCACACACGCACAATCGCACACCCGCACACACGCACACACGCATACACGCACACACGCACACGTATATTGCCAAGTACATAAGCAAGTAAATAAGCAGGTATAAAAGCAAGTATAAAAGCAAGTATATAGCAAGTATATAAGAAAGTTTATAGGCAAGTATATAATATAGTATATAAGCAAGTAAATAAGCAAGTATATAAGCAAGTATATTACCAAGTTCATAAGCAAGTATATAATATAGGCAAGTAAATAAGCAAGTATATAAGCAAGTAAATATGCAAGTATATAAGCAAGTATATAGGCAAGTAAATAAGCTAGTATATAAGCAAGTAAATAAGCAAGTATATAAGCAAGTATATAAGCAAGTATATAAGCTAGTAAAAGCAAGTATATAAACAAGTATATAAGTGAATATATAAGCAAGTATATAAGTAAGTAAATAAGCAAGTATATAAGCAAGTATACAATCAAGTATATCAGCAAGTATATGAGCTAGTATAAAAGCAAGTATATAAGCAAGTAAATAAGCAAGTATATAGGCAAGTATATAAGCAAGTAAATAAGCAAGTATAAAAGCAAGTATATAAGCAAGTATATAAGCAAGTATATAAGCTAGTATATAAGCAAGTATATAATTTAGTATATAGGCAAGTAAATAAGCAAGTATACAAGCAAGTATATAAGAAAGTAAGTAAGTAAGTATATAAGCAAGTAAATAAGCAAGTACATAAGCAAGTATATAAGCAAGTATATAAGAAAGTATATAAGCAAGTATATAACAAAGTAAATAAGCAAGTATACAAGCAAGTATATAAGTTATTATAAAAGCAAGTATATAAGCAAGTATATAAGCAAGTATATAAGAAAGTATATAAGTAAGTATATAAGCAAGTAAATAAGCAAGTACATAAGCAAGTATATAAGCAAGTATATAAGAACGTATATAAGTATATAAGCAAGTAAATAAGCAAGTAAATAAGCAAGTAAATAAGCAAGTATATAAGCAAGTAAATAAGCAAGTACATAAGCAAGTATATAAGCAAGTATATAAGCAAGTATATAAGTAAGTATATAAGAAAGTATATAAGTAAGTATATAAGCAAGTAAATAAGCAAGTATATAAGCAAGTATATAAGCAAGTATATAAGCAGGTATATAAGCAAGTAAATAAGCAAGTATACAAGCAAGTATATAAGCTAGTATAAAAGCAAGTATATAAGCAAGTAAATAAGCATAAGCAAGTATATAAGAAAGTATATAAGTAAGTATATAAGCAAGTATATAAGCAAGTAAATAAGCAAGTACATAAGCAAGTATATAAGCAAGTAAATAAGCAAGTAAATAAGCAAGTATATAAGCAAGTAAATAAGCAAGTACATAAGCAAGTATATAAGCAAGTATATAAGCAAGTATATAAGAAAGTATATAAGCAAGTAAATAAGCAAGTATATAAACAAGTATATAAGAAGGTATATATTTAAGTATATAAGCAAGTATATAAGCAAGTATATAAGAAAATATATAAGTATATAAGCAAGTAAATAAGCAAGTATATAGTCAAGTATATAAGCAAGAATATAAGCAAGTAAATAAGCAAGTACATAAGTAAGTATAAAAGCAAGTATATAAACAAGTATATAAGCAGGCATATATTTAAGTATATAAGCAAGTATATAAGCAAGTATATTAGCAAGTAAATAAGCAAGTATATAAGCAAGTATATAAGCAAGTATATAAGCAAGTATATAAGCAAGTAAATAAGCAAGTATATAAGCAGGTATATTACCAAGTACATAAGCAAGTAAATAAGCAAGTATAAAAGCAAGTATATAAGCAAATATATAAGCAAGTAAATAAGAAAGTATATAGGCAAGTATATAATTAAGTATATAAGCAAGTAAATAAGCAAGTATATAAGCAAGTAAATAAGCAAGTATATAAGCAAGTATATAAGCAAGTATATAAGCAAGTAAATTATCAAGTATGTAAGCAAGTACATAGGCAAGTATATACGCAAGTATATACGCAAGTATATAAGCAAGTAAATAAGCAAGTATATAAGCAAGTATACAAGTAAGTATACAAGCAAGTATAAAAGCTAGTATATAAGCAAGTATATAAGCAAGTAAATAAGCAAGTATAAAAGCACGTATATAAGCAAGTATATAAGCAAGTGCATAAGTAAGTTTAAAAGCAAGTGTATAAGCAAGTATATAAACAGGTATATATTTAAGTATATAAGCAAATATATAAGCAAGTTAATAAGCAAGTTAATAAGCAAGTATAGAAGAAAGTATACAAGCTAGTATAATATCAAGTATATAAGCAAGTATATAAGCAAGTTAATAAGCAAGTACATAAGCAAGTATAAAAACAAGTATATAAGCAAGTATGCAAGCAAGTATACAAGCAAGTATATAAGCTATTTTAAAAGCAAGTATATAAGCAAGTATATAAGCAAGTAAATAAGCAAGTACATAAGCAAGTATATAGTCAAGTATATAAACAAGTATATAAGCAAGTATACAAGCAAGTTTATAAACAAGTATATAAGCAAGTATATAAGCAAGTAAATAAGCAAGTATACAAGCAAGTATATAAGCTAGTATAAAAGAAAATTAATAAGCAAGTATATAAGCAAGTAAATAAGCAAGTACATTAGCAAGTATAAAAGCAAGTATTAAAACTCCATAACGAGTAGAAAAATCCTTTATAGCTGCTAAGTTGCCATTCAGGTTTTTTATCCCATTATGGATATCCCCAATCTCAGATTGTACATAAAGCTGAAGGTCATCGGCATACAAATGATAGGAGCAGTCGATGATGGAGGTAATAAAGTTTATAAAAATTGAAAACATTATAGCAGAAAGAATACCGCCTTGCGGCACACCAGCATCCACGTCAGCCCAAGTTGAGGACAGTTGCCCCACACTGACTGACTGCTGTCGACCGCGAAGATAAGATGCAAACCAATCCAATTCAGTAGGGCCAAAATTCGGATGAGACAGTATGGAAAGAAGGATTTCATGATCAACTGTGTTGAAAGCATTTGAGAAATCAACTAGTACCAGTACTGTTATTTTTTTTTCTTCCATGCCTTGTTTAATATTATCAACAACATTAATTAATGCAGTAGTGGTACTATGACCAGGACGAAACCCAGACTGATATATACTCAGTAGGTTATGTTTCGAAATAAAAGTAGAAATTTGCTTGTAACCACAGGATTCTAAAATTTTGGAAAGAAAGGGTAGAATGGATATTGGACAAAAATGATTGGGAAGAATGGGAGTAGGAACTTTTGGGAGAGGCTTTACAAAAGCCCTCTTCCAAAGATAAGGATACTGACCTGAACCAAGGGAAAAATTGATTATATGGGAAATTGCCGGGAGAAGGTGCTCTAGTATAAATACTACCATATGTCTACTAATCTCGTCGTAACCCACGGCCATGGACTGGATTGCTAAACTCGACTTTTTGACATCATCCTGAGAAACAGGAGAAAAATTAAAGGTAGGAATGTTAGGAATTTGCAGAGAAGCAATGGAAGCCATAGTTTGGGAATGAATTGTGGGGTCCAGTGCTTTTACAGAAGCGAAATGTTGGTTGATTTCATCAAGTGAGACAGAAGGACCACAATCTATCGATATTCTACGCCGTAATTGTGCATTACAATTAAAATAATGACGAAATGAGCTTCAAATTATGCGTTTTAAGCACTTAAGTTTTTTTCTATGACTGATGATGATTATGGAGCTATTGATTGTATTACTAAGGACTTTAGTGAGAAAACGGTGCATAAATAAAAACCTAAATATGACCCTCCGTAGAGAATATATTTTATGAATGAAATGAATTATTATTAATAAAGAGTTACAGCCTTTATTTTTAATTTGTTTTAAAGTGGTTGTTTGGTAGAAGAAGAAGTAAGGCGGCGCAAAGTTTTAAAGAGGATTGTTTAGATATCTCAAGTATGATCTAAAGCATCCCACTGCTGGGCAGAAGTCTCGTATCATGCCTGAGAGGTTTATTGGCGGGTTTCACACATAAAGGAAATATGAATATAATAAATGTACAATTTTATAAGAATTTAAAATAAGATAAAAGAGCTAACGTAATTTTAATAAGATATAACTTAACACAACATAAACACTCACGCCCTTCACTCAGAGGGGTGGGCAGACTACAGACTTCCATTTGGCACGATCCTGACACATCTCTCCCGCCTCCTCCACATCATTATACCCACACATACATGCTCATCGGTTAAGGGTACCCTTAATTTGGCCCATTTTCAATATATCGCCAATTTCGGTATTCTTTCGCCTAGAACATCCCTTTCCAACTCTGCCGCTCACTTCTGAAACATAAATTTGCTTTGTCACTTGTTCCTCATTCATTTTTTGTATATGACCATACCACAGAAGCATTCCTTTCTTAACCCTGGTCACATCATCTTGCAAACCACACTCTTATCACACAATTTCTCACACTCTCACTCAGATTCAGCCCTAACATACTCCTTAATGACTGCATTTCTACTGCGTTTATTCTACTTTCGTGCTTCTTCTGCCACACCCAACTTCCGCTACCATATGTTAAAGTAGGTACTAACACAGCACAGAATTACAAAAACAATTTTTTTAATAAGGATATGTTTATAAAATTCTGATAAAAATTTAATTAATTATTTAATATAATACAAACATATTTTTATCAACCTATCACCATTAGTATATATTCTTACCTACGTACTAAATCTACATTAAATCTATTTTTCATATTTGAAATTTGATAATATAGCTTAACATATGTAATCAAAAACATATTGATTATATGTACAATTTTATAAGAATATTAAATTTTATATGATCGTCCTGAATCAAACAATCCTGAATTAAAGAAAACGTCCTGATCTGATTTAGTTAATTTATTTATATTTTTTATATAAAATTAACTGGTAGTTAAGTTTCAACAATAAATTAACTAAATCAGATCAGGACCTTGCAATGGTTTTTGAGAAATATTTTACTGATATTCCGATCTTAACCACTAAGTCACTGAACTCTTCTCCTGCCGTCGCCGAATCATTAATAAAATTAATAATGGCGTAGGGAATTGACGACCCCATCGCTCGCTGACGTAACAGTTAAGTGACAAAACTGCAACGTCAACGCAGTCAGTCAGCGCCTTGCGAGAGGTGTGAGCGCCGTGCCTCGGCAGAATTTAGGGTGCAAAGACCCGTTTGTGCTTATGGCCACGCACGATACGGTGCCGGGCCTGGGCGTCTCCCGTTAATGGACGCCCAAATAATGGATGATGGATAAAAAGATAATGCGTAAAGGGCCGCTGCCTGGGGGTCGCCGGGGCGCGTCTGGTGCTGGCGCTGGACGCGGCAGCATGCGGGCCGCCAGCCGAGTGCGAGGAGCTGCACGGTCACCTAGCAGCCCTCCGCATCCATCATCCCCACCAGAAGGCTTGGTGTCGGCTGGGTCTTCTCGGACTCAGCAAGCGGCACCCGCCGCTGGTGGAGCACGTCGCATGCGTTGGTCACAAGCAATGAACGCAAACGCACTGCGGGCGTACTTTATGGCAAAAGGGAAAGAAACTGGATGTTTGGCGTATCGGGCTAGGATGCATCGTCTTTTTGCTGAGCTGGAGCCATCTTTAACCGTCACAGAGCAAAACCTGGCAGACCGAGTTCGGTATATCTTGCGCTCAAATATATTTGATGTCGCCGAACTCGAACGGCTACGACGTGAGGCTGTTCCCTCATCGGATGAAAATGCTACGGCTGAGGATGCGGCGCCACAAATTGTAGAGCAACCCGCAAACGTGGATGCCGCCGTGAATACCCCAGTTGTGGTTGATTCAAACGATGATGGAACAGTCGCCCAGGAACTGGAATTAGAGTATATGAGGAGTACATTGGAAGAGGCGACTGTGGAAACGCGCAGTACGCCTCTCGAAAATCGACCGCGACTTCCCCGCATAGCCCTAAGCAAGCGGAATCGGGCTGTTGTGAGGGCTCTGAACCCAATGCTGGTGACCTATTTGGAAGCCAGCCGGGACCTTTGCGAGACGGACTCAATTCTTTATGGCGCCACGCTGGCAGTCTGCCGTATCATAGGCGCCAAGGTTTCCACGGCTGGACGCGCTACTGGCCAAGGGAGCGCTATCCCAGTATGGAGAAGAAGAATTGAGGAACGTATCGCAAAGGCTAGAGCTCTCATCGGGAGACTGATATGCTTCAGATCAGGCAATAACAGGCCATTGTGCGCACCGTCAGGATGGCGTTTGCTGGGACAAATGTCAGTTTGTCCCAGCCGGATATAACGCAAAAACTGACGGAGCGCATAGATGATCTGAAGCAGAGAATCGCTGCTTGGGGAAAGCGGATTCGGCGATATACCGAGAGGTCGACACGGTTCAACCAGAATCGTCTCTTCCAGAGTGATCAGAAGAGGCTCTATGAATCATTGGAGCGACCAATGGTAAGTGGAACGGGCCCAGCACCGAATCAGGCCGACACTGTAGCATTCTGGCGCGGCCTGTGGTCAGAGCCCGTAAACCACATATAGGGTGAGGGCCCTTGGACGGAAGTTATGGCGAGTCAGTGTGCGAGTATAACGCCCATGGACCCCGTCATTATAACACCGGATGACGTAGCTGAGGCGGTCCGTAGGGCCCCGAACTGGAAAAGTCCGGGACTCGACGGGCTGCATCACTACTGGCTGAAGGGGTTCGTGGTGTGTCACACTGTGCTCGCCTACTGGGTTCTCTGTCACACACAGAACGCGACGTTGCCGCTTCGTGTTCGAGTACCTATTCGTCGATTATGGCTCCGGATCCACTTGGTCTACGTAAATGTCGCATATAAATTAAATATACTCTGGATCTAAAAAATCATATTCAGTATGATTTTTTCGACCGTTGATAGATCAACAAATGTTGGTCAAATCGCTGACGAGTGTATTGAAATCCTGTTAGTGCAGATCCACCGACGTCACACGCGCATCAAGAATGGATCAAAGTATATCAGTTTTGCCAGCTCCTTGTCGCAAAACTGATATACTTTGATCCATTCTTGATGCGTCCTTGTCAGTCGGTGGATCTGCACTAACAGGATTTCATAACTCTCAGCATTTGACCAACATTTGTTGATCTATCAACGGTCAAAAATCATACTGAATATGATTTTTTAGATCCAGAGTATATTTAATTTATATGCGACATTTACTTAGACCAAGTGGATCCGGAGCCATATGACGAATAGGTACTCGAACACGAAGCGGCAACGTCGCGTTCTGTGTGTGACAGAGAACCCAGTAGGCTACATCGTTATAGTAATAAGGTAAGAAAATACGTTATCTGCTGATTTTGTGGATCAAATTTTGGCAGGTTTTATTGTGGAAAGACGTTTGTTCGAGTTTTTGTTATCGTGTGAGTGAATTTGTGTTATTTTATTCATTTGTCATGGATCAATTAGAAGATGATGGATAGTACTTTATTACAAATTAATTTGTCACTCGAGGTGTGTGTGTGTGTGTGTGTGTGGGTGGGGGTGTTTGTTCGTGTGCGTGTGTGTGTGTGTGTTGTGTGTGTGTGTGTGTGTGTGTGTGTGTGTGTGTGTGTGTAAGGGTGGGGGTGCCATTTAGTTCGCGTGCCGTGTGTGTGTGTGTGTGTGTGTGTAAGGGTGGGGGTGCCATTTAGGTCGCGTGCGTGTGTGTATGTGTGTGTGTGAGTGTGTGTGTTTATGCGAGTTTGTGTGTGCGCGTGTGTGTGTGTTTATGCGAGTGCTTGTGTGTGTGGGTGTGTGTTAGTGTATGTGTGCGTGCGGGTGTTCACTGTTGTTCGTGTGTGTGTGTGTGTGTTAGTATGTGTGCGTGCGGGTGTTAACTGTTGTTCATGTGTGTGTGAGTGTGTGTGTGTGTGTGTGTGTGTATGTGTGTGCGGTTGTGCGTTTGTTTGCTTTCGTGTGTGGGTACGAGTGTGTGATTGTGTGCGTGCGTGTGTCCACTGTTGTTTTGTATTTATGTATGTGCTTGTGCGTGTATGTGTGTTCGTTCGTGCGCGCGCGTGTGTGTGAGTGTATGTGCGGGGTGTGTGTGTGTGTGTGTGTGTGTGTGTGTGTGTGTGTGTGTGTGTGTGTGTGTGTGTGTGTGTGTGTGCGCGCGCCCACAAAACGGAGGCGGAGAATGGAAACGTGGAGGTGGAGGTGAATGCAGCGTAGTACGTGGTGAAGGTGGAGTAGAGGAATTTGTAGTGAAGTCGGAGATAGTGGAAACGGGGAATTGTGTTGGAGGCGGAAAGAATAGTGACGGCGCGTGGTGGTGGCGGCGGAGGGAGCGGAGTTTATTGTTGAGGCGGATGGAGCAGAGTTTATGTTGGAGCCGGAGGTAGCGGAGGTGGAGAACGAAGGCTTAGAGAGGGGGTGTGGTGGTAGATGTGGAGGCGTAGGTGGCAGAGGTGGTGGTGGGTGCACTGGAGTGCAGTAAAGTGGGTACCGCGTGAGGGCAAGAAAACTCATATAAAGGACAGTTGGTTACAGCGAAAAACAGTGTGGCTGGTAAGTGGATATCGATACTGCCCCTAAAGATGTTACTACGAGGTTATTCATTTTTCCGAATATCAGCTTGGATACCTATTGGTACTAGAGACAAAGTGAAAAGAACTTTTGTTTTGTGACGGTTTCATCATAACTAACAAAACCAACCCAAACTCGGCATACCTAGTTTTACTAGTCCAGGTGTTACAGTGTTAGTTACCGAAGTACACCTTCAGGTCACTTCAGCAATTCCGGAGGTAAGGACTCATCATAACTAACAAAACGAGCCCAAACTCAGCACACCCAGTTCTACTAGTCCAAGAGTTCCACTAGTAATCCCGAATTACATTTTGAAGTCACTCCATCAAGACCAGAGGTAAGGTCTCATGATAATATCACATGTAATAGTTCGATTCTATACCTATCAATTTTGTAAACGCGTCCTTAAAAATCTTGATTATGAAGATGAAGAAAACATGTTAACTGGTTTATGGTAAACACACAAACACACACACACACAAACACGCAAGCGCGCGCGCCAACATGCACACATGCGCACACGCACAAATGCATACACACACTCACACAAGCATACTGCCGCACACACACACACGCACACTGCCGCACACACACGCACACACACAAACACAACAGTGCACACATGCACACACGCACACCCATTCACACGCACACACACACTACATTTACGCACACGCACACATATGCACACACACACACACACACACACACACACACACACACCACACACACACACACACACACACACACACACCACACAAACAACACAAACACAAACACACACACACACACTCAGACGAATACCTTATGTCGCCGTTGCCACCACTTCCGCTACAAGAAGGGGCGTTGTCGAGTAATTCGTTAAAAAAAAGTCGTTTATTTCGACCACAAGAATCATAGATGTTAGTAATAATACAAATCTTAAAACTAATTTTCGTAAAACTTAAAACTATTTACCTAATTTTAAAACTATATATAAGACAGGCCCGATTAGTCAGCACGTGCACCATATGACAATGGTTCAGTACTGACCTCATCTGTCAGAAAATGCCCTCAGGATACCATTGGAACTGGCCCGCACCCTGCGCACCAGGGATGTGCATCGTTTACGCATGGTGGTCTAGAAACAATCCACACGCGCATCCGCGAACATACCCGACGCATTACAATAACGAGGTATACCTTACAGCACCCTGAATGCATTACATAACACGCATTTAATCTGTAGCTTGTACCGCCAAAGATACGAAACGGCAACGTCGCGGCTGCATACAGCCAATCCGATCGTTTATCTTATCGTTTGCTGTGCTCTGGTTGGCTCATTTAAATCGGATCAACATTTTCCGTAACCATCGCAAGGTGGATTTGTATATCGGACCAACTTCGGCCAACGCTAACAAACAGTCTCGTGAGTCACATTAGTGATCGGAGCCACATTAGTTACCAGAGATGCATATTGGATCAACAAAAGGCGCCGGATCAACATGCGTTTTCGGATCAATAAAGTGCTCGCGTGAAGTCGCGTCTGATCAACATTTACCGTAAAGAGATCTATAATATAATCGGAATCTCGGAAACGGCTCCAACGATTTTAGCGACGAACGCTTGGATTTATTTTTAGAAAATGTCCTTTTGTCTTTGTTTTCAGGCAATAAAAAACTACTACAATATAAGAAGGTAAATTTCGACAAATTGCTAACGATCGTTACAGCTCAGGTGGTATGTCGGTCGGGCGTGAGATGGAAGTTCCGTGGTTCGCGTCCTAGCTCTGGTCCGGCTTTTTTTCCTTTTCTTTTCAAGTTCCCTTCTTTTGTGATAAAATCTATTAAAAACCCTTTTTTAGTAATTTTTAAAAATACGAAAATTTTTATAAAACTAATTGCACTCATTATTTTTTATTCAAATAATCAGTTCAGTTTTTTCTATTCTGTCAATAAGATCAAAAAATATTATATAAGTTTCATCAGTATGTAATTTATAAATGTAATTAAAAAAAAACGAGCAAAGCTCGGTCACCCGGGTACTATATATATATATATATATATATATCTCTCTATATATATATATATATATATATATATATATATATATATATATATATATATATATATATATATATATATATCAATTTCTTACATTCAAGATAATAAAATTGACTTTATATTTTATTTTGTTCTATTTATTAATACCCACCCAGTATTACTAATCACAAATAATCACAATATCTCATTAGTTATTGTAATTGGGTAAAAAATATCTATTTAGTTACTAATGCTTTATTTATTATTTTAATAATTACCTACCCAGTAGGTAAATATTAAAATAATAAATGTAGCATTATAAACAGTAAATCTCCCTCAAACTCAATTTACTAATATTGTTTCTAAATGAGGAATAGCAGATAAAAGATTAGTATTATAGCATTAGGTGACAAACGAGCACATAGTCCACTTGATGGTAAGTGGATGCTATGGCCCATAGACATACACATTTATCCTCAATTAAGAATCAAAATTATGGAGTGTAGAAGTAAGAAGTACCAACTCCCATAGTAGAATAGTTGAAAAAGTGGTCATCTGTAAGCAGTAAATAATAGTTTGAAAACTCTCCACAATAGCGCTGGAGTAGCTACTGGGATGAAATGAACTTAGCAGTTGTCGACGGTTTAAGTGCGCTGCTAAACTGCTCAGTAGCTCTAAAATCTAAAATAATTTTATTTAGTAAATATAACCTCGAAAAAGTCATCTAT